TCTAATATTTTCAAAATAAGTTCTACCAATTCCTAACATATTGAGATAAGTTTCTTGACAAAGTAGTGTATTGTGATCTCAGTGGTAGAAAGTTCTTTTATTAGATCTATTTTTCTTTTTAAGGCGTCTGCTGGTGCTTATTGATCCACCATCCATTGCTTTAATCTGTGACATTAAAAATATGTCTTGTTCTGGTTTAGAAAGAGCTTGAAAGGATTCCCTTAATTCTGCAAATTCTTCCTTAGGAATTCTTGAAGAACAACCACAATTACATCCTTTTTCTAGAAAATCAATGGCTTTTTGATATTCATTAGAACCATTATACTTATTATTACTTTTCATATACACTTATCCCTATATATACAATTTTATGTTCACTTTGTAGGCATTCATTTATTTTAAAATTGAAGTGAGTCAACTGGTTCCATGAAAAATAATTATGTTAGATTTAAGTTACTTATTATTACTAAAAATGGATAAGATAAAATTATCTTGAGACCTGAGATTTATTGATCAACTGAAACAGATAAACAAATAAATAATGATCATTTTATTTGTAGAGAATTATTGATATTTTTAAAAGATCAAAAGATCATTGAAATTACTACTTGATTTACAAACAACAACAACAACAACAACAATAACAATAATAATAATAATAATCCAAGATTTATTGATCAGACTAAAATTGGCAAACAAATAAATAAATTGTTTTGTGTTAGTTATACTAAAACAGTAAAACAGGTTTTTTTATTTTAAAATTAGTGTTTGTATGTAAATTATGTGTGCAAATTTCAATTTTCCTATATCTTCATTAATTATTAAAAATAAAGAAAATTTGAAGTGTATAAATATGATTGACTTTGGACTATCAAAAACACTAATTAAAAAAAAAACTTTTTATATACACATTTAAAACAAACGTCATTAAAAATAAATCTTTTTAATAAATTGATTCCCATTTTGCATGATTGAGGCTAATGCCATTACAAAAGTGGAATAAAATAATTATTTTTTAAATATAATTAATTATATATCTTTAATAAAACAAACATGACTTAGCTTTTTAATCATTTCCTTGTATGTGAATGCCTCCATCCATCAAATATTCATGATGGTCATGATTATTATGCAATACATTTGATATCATCATTGACATAACAAACAATTGCATCACCCAGGTAGTAATGATACCAAGGCCATGCAAAAATGAAACTTTTAATAATGCCTGTCTCTGGGGTTCACAAAATAAAGTTATTTTTCCTGATTATCAATTGTGGTTCCTATGAATAATAAATCTGATGTTGATCACAGGTGTCAGATTTAATTAAAATTTCCTGTCACAAACAATGCAAACGGGTGTTTTCACACCATCTCATCCCTATGGATTTTTTCCACAGGTGAGACACTTACAAGTTGGAAGGCTTTGGACAAAACTTCTCTTATCTTCCCCTCAGACCAGGCTTGACTGTTAGTTACCATATGGGCATTGATTGTTGATGATAACTGGTACTTGTGTGATGATTGCCTTGTGTTATCTTGACCTTTAGAATAAAGTTGGTGTCTGCAACTGGTCTAAAATTCTGCAACTCGGGAGATTGCAACCTGGTTATTGTTTTGGATTTTTCCTGAATTCCAAGTTTTGAGTCCTGGGTTGCTGTCTTGTTGGTGGCATGCCTACTCACCAACAACCCTACTCTCATTTAAATAACAAATTCAGTTGGTCAAATAAAAATTAAAGAGATGCAGAGAATTTGGGAAAATGATTAATTTATATAAAACATACCAAACAAAATCTGAACCATTTTATTTTACAGCTTTCCTCCTAACATCAGGGCCCAAATGCAATTTCAGGGTCACCAACCTACTCTGAATTGCAACCTCCTGTGCTTGAAACGAGTTGCAGATTCTCATTGCTTTGATGGGTCTGGATGTTTACATAGCACTACAATTCATCAACAGAGTTGTGATAGCTTGGTCACGGATCAATCCTTACCCTAGAGGTAGGATCGTTGCAGGCAACTTTTCGGCTAACGTGGCAGCCTTCTCTGGTCTGGTGCTGTGAGGGAAGATTAGTGAAAGCGTCATTGACGATTGATGCAGTCTCGGTAAACTCCAGGGCCATGCGCCAACCCCACCGGGTTTAATCACACCATTGTATCATTTGGTCGTTGCAGGTCAGATTAGCCTTGTAAACATGAGGAACGTGTGAGAATGACTGTAAAGTGTTCAAGGTAACGTGCATGCTTCAACACTTGTCAAATTTCCGATAATCAAACATCACATATCAAAATGTTTCACTTCCTTGTATCGCCTTGACATTTTCATATTATTTAATGTTAATAATATTAATATTGATTATGAAAAGCCAAATACCAATTGTTTACCACCTTGATGAGGAACTTATAATTACCCAGCAAGATTTGCTCCGCGTTTTGATTTCAATAAGACATATCAATGCAAATTAAAAAAAGTTACCTCTGGTTAGTTATTAACACGTCTCTTTTTAGAACCAATCATGCCAAACAACATCACTCGCGTTTTGTCACCGTTAAAAAATAAATTGTTTTTCCAAAAAAAAAAAATCAATAGTAATGGGGGTACAGCATAGTGGACATTCGTGACAAAATCGATTGTTGATCTTTTTTATGTTGTGAAACAGACGATTTCAATTGAATTTAAAATAGAAAAATGGTCTCGTGACTGCGCACAAAATCCATTTTATGAAACACACATCTTTTTTTACATTGATATATTGCTTTAATTTTTCTTTACAGTTTGGTAAAACACGATCAAATTGATCAAATTGATCTTGGCAGGCTATATTAGAAGCGAAAGTTTAAGGTTTTCGTGATCTATTTATGTCAGAATTGCGACCTTTATTATTATTATTTATTTTATTTTTTAATGTAAAGAATGAACTATTACAACATACTTTTTATTAATAAAGCGTTATTATACCGCAGATAAAGACTTCTTTTATATTCTCATTATACTTTAAAGAAAGAAATATTTATTTTTATATATTTATTTGATTTACTTATATATATTCAAATTTTTCTAATACGGGATAAGGATCATATGAGTAGGTTGTATCATATTTTTTTCACAATGAGATAATATTTAAAAGAAGAGAAAAGATTAAAATCATTTAATTAAAAAAAAGAAAAGAATTTTTAAACAATAACGAAATATACTTGAACCGAGATCAAGATTTTATGGGGAGATAATATAAAGTAATGTAAACATGTTTAAAATTCATCTCTTGTATAAATAGGTTATTTGTATTTACATTTATGTTTATATTCATGTCCACCAATTTATTCTTTAAATAGGAAAATATAATATTTTTATTGCGGATTTTTAATGTTAATAATATAATTAGTCCAAAGACCCCTGTAAATTTTAGGAGGTTTTTTAGACTGAGCCAACTATGATAGAAATTTATTAATAAAAAAGATTGATGAATTGATTTTATAGACCACGAGTTTCACATGAGGAAAGTTGGAAAAGGTCAACACAGAAATAAGTATTAGCATGATGCAACATTATATATAAGTTCAGCTTGATATAAACTCTTATATAATGATATGGTGAAGTTTTTTTGTCAAAAAACAACTCTTCCTTATATTAAGTGTTAGTAGTACATATTACAAGTATTACCAGTTTACATTACCCGATCAATGCATTGAACTTAATTACCCAAAAGTATCAATTCAAAAGAAAGAATTTAAAACTATTCATTCATGTTAAATTGAACATGAAATTATCCTTTTAAATGGAACATCTTAATAATAAGTATTAAATTAGAATAAGAGATTACATCACCAAGAATTACTGGAATAAGAGAACTAAATGATTGAACCTAGGGTTGAAATTACCGACAAAAATTCTTAATTGACTACTAATTGGTCAAGATTTCTTTAGTCGACTAATCAGTCAACTATTTAGTTGACTATTTTAGTCAGAGTCATATATTAAATATTGTGATCCAACCAACAATATCAATACCAACGATATCCTTTTTTAGAATTAATCAATTTATTTATTTAATTTAAATAAAAATATATGTTAGGTATATTAAAAGTAATAATTACAACAGTTATATATATAATTGAAATCGATGAAATTGATTGGAGTAACTGATAATCAGTGTATGCAATTTGGAATTGTGTAACAAATAAAAAAAATTATAAACTTGTCATTGACTTGTCATACTTGAAGAGATGTGACGAAATTGATAATTAAACTGGCTAATTGATATTCCTTATTTTTGTATAATGACATTATAAACCCGTGAAAATATCAAGCATTTTTTATCTAGTAGAAAACTACAAAATATTTCATTCAGAAATATGTAAAATGATATTGATGAAGGAAAAGATCAAAATAAATCAAACTCTTAAAATAATGGACGGGTTAAAGTAGTAGTTTTACTCTTGTGTATATTTTTCTTCAATTGTTGTATAAAAACAGTAATAATTGACATTGTACGATGAAGGAATAATATTATAATTGAGGAAGACGTGAGAAAATCCTTTATATTTTATGGGTAAATTAGTCACATATTTGTTATTGTTATAACTGTTATAACCTAATATATTGGTTAAAATTATCATCAAACTTGATAATTGATCAATAATCCCATATTTATGAAGTAAATTATCATCAATTATTACATTAAGTTGGTTGCAAATGTCACTGTATCTAAGATTTTACGTGTTTGTTTTTTATTCCCATGGTTTTATTTTAACCTAATATATCAAATTTCTTTCAATACCAATTGCCTGATAATTGATCAATATAATTGATAAACACATCTTTTTTTTCTCTCAAAAAACAAAAAACTCCCATGAATTTTTTCTTATAAAAACCTCTCGTGAAAACCTCTCATAAAACTTTAAAAAAACTTCTTAAAAACTTTTCATCGAAAACTTTTCTCTATAAGAAAACTTTTTTAAAATAAACAAGCCCATTTTTACATCTCTTACAAAAAAAAAATGTTTGAAATCGACATCGCAACTGTTATGTTCACAACAGTTAATCTTGTCGTTCTTCTTGATTATTTGGTAAATATTTTAATGGAGTGGCTATACCCACGAGTTGATGAAGAATTTCCATCTTTGTCTGAAATCAACACTCTCAATACTCTTTTTGCTTTTATCATTGAGAGACCGAATTGTAATGTTAGCTCAGATATCAAATCAAATTATGATGTTAGCTCAGCTATCAAATCAAATTGTGATGTAGATGTCAAATCAAATTGTGATGTTAGCTCAAATGACGAATCAAATTGTGATGCTAGCTCAGATGGTGAATCAAATTATGATGCAGATGACGAATCAAATTGTGATGCTAGCTCGGATGGTGAATCAAATTATGATGCAGATGACGAATCAAATTATAATGTTAGCTCAAATGACGAATCTGAAGTTGACGATGAACCAAATCTAGAAAATATTTTGATAATGATGGAAGATGCACAATTTGATCCTAAAATAATTACTGATAGTGTTATTACAATTAAACAACACGATAAAGAATTGTTGTCACTATCATCAATTTTATCAGCAATCGACGCTGAAATGCTTCAAGTAACCAAAAAACTTGAAGCATTATCATTTGACGACACCGAAAATATTCAACCACTCAAATCATCATCGAAAAAACTCAAAGCGGTTGAACCATCACCATCATTATCTGATGCATTTGAAGCATCGTCATCATCATTGTTGTCAGCAATTGACACTGACATGCATCAAACGATTGAATCATTGTCGTTAAAAAATATCGAAGCATTCGAATCATTGCACTTAAAGAAAAATTTAAATTGGTCAAATATTGATTTTTGTTCGAACAAAAAGGAATGCTTATCCAATGAGAACAAGGGCAATGTCAATGACAACTCTTCAGTAATTGAATCGTCACCATCATCATTGTTGTCAGTAATCAACACTGACATATTTCAAGCAATCGAATCATTATCTTTAAAAAACATCCAAGAATTCGAAGAAAAATTCAAATTGCTCAAGTATTGATCGCAATCTTGTGCATTGTATATGTCATTTCTCAAACCAGCTAGTCATCCTCCAGGAAAGACACAATAATGATACCAATGTCATCAGTATCTTTAATCTCCAAAAAGTTTAGATAATAACGTTCAGGCTCAAATTATCAAAAGGATAATAATAAAGTTAATTGGTTGGAGACTTTTTAATCCGAGCTTAAAAATATAAGCAAATCTTCAACAAGTCTAAATAATAATATTTAGGATTCAAATAATCCAAATGGTGAAAGCGAGAATCCGAGCTTGAAAAAATAATTATGATAATAATGTCATCAGTATCTCTATTTCTATTTAATCCCCAACAAGTTTAGATAATAACGTTCAGGGCTCAAATTATCAAAAGGATAATAATAAAGATAATTGGTTGAAGATTGCTTTTGAATCCGAGCTTAAAAATACAAGTGAATCTTCAGCAAGTCTAAATAGTAATATTTGGGATCAAATAATCCAAATGGTGAAAGTGAGATACTTTTGAATCCGAGTTTAAAAATATAATTGATGAATAATGTCGTCAGTATCTCTATTCCTATTTGATCTCCAACAAGTCTAAATGATAACGATTGGTGCTCAATGATCAAAAAGATGAAGATAATTGGTTGAGGATTGCTTTTGATTCTGAGCTTAAAAATATAAGCGAATCTTCAACAAGTCTAAATAATAATATTTGGGATTCAAATAATCCAAACGGTGAAAGTGACATTACTTTGAATCTAAGCTTAAAAATATAATAATTTCGTCAGTATTTCTATTCCTATTGGATCTCAACGATAATTGTTGGGCTCAAATGATCAAAAAGATGTAAATAATTGGTTGAAAATCACTTTTGATTCTGAGCTTAAAAATACAAGTGACCGATTTCATCAGTAACCTCATTTATACCGAATCCTCAACAAGACTAGATGGGGTTTAAATAATCAAAATGGTGAGGATGATTGGTTGAAAATTGCTTTTGAAACCAAGCTTAAAAATACAAGTGATAATGATTTAGTCACGGTAGTAACAATAGAAGAAATAAGTCTGTTAGCAATAGCTATCGTCAAGATATCACAATAGAGTTTTCATCATGTCAAAATTTATTTGTAAATAAATAATTCAAAAATTTTTACATTAATAAATTAGAATTCAACAGTTAATTAATATTAACAAGAATTGCCCCAAGACCAGAACGTTTATATTAAGAATTGGTTCAACGTGGAATCATTATATATGATTGGCAAATAAAAAAAATTTTACGTTCCAATTAGTGTTGTAATGTGAACAATTATTCGTTTGAGTGAAGGAATAATTAATAATATATTTAATCAGATGGATAATTAGTGTACTAGCGAATAGTTTTTCATAATTTGTTAGAAATATTTATACATTGAATCTCGTATTCCTTTTCTAATTAGAATTACATATTCAATCAGTTTTCCTGAATGTTCAGAATTACGGATAAATACTATAACATTCCACAAAGTTATTGAGATGAAATATACAAATTTTCGAGAAAGAAGTTAATAAATAAATCATTATTAGCCATTCAACAAATTTTCTTGATAAAGCCATTATGCTCACCACTTCTTCTTCCTGATACTTCTGTTATTGCTGTTGATGAACAGGTGAGAATAATATCAATGCGTTTGAGTAGAGGAAGTTGACAAAGAAAAAGATAATGCCAAAGGCATCTGATGATTATGATGAATTTTTGCATTTAAAAGATCTACCTG